TAAAAAGCTATGATTTTGTTGCCGGTATGCAAGAAAGACTAAGGAAGTGTAGCAAGCTAACAAGAAATAGCCTCAAAACTGCCCAGATCTCCACTACACATGCATACTTATCCTCAATCTGCAGCACCAGACTTAGCTTTAATTTTGCTAAAGGATTCAAGTCCCACCTTCTTTCTCTTTCTAGACCTCTTTCACTTTTCTCCAACAACGTGTGCTTGTAAAACACAATAGCCAACCAGATGTCTCTGGTAACCACAACCTTCTCACTGGCTATTCCCAGCAACTGGCATTTAGAGGCATACTGCCTCCAAGAGTGGGCTAGAATATAGCTGTTGTGGCTACTAGTCAATGATACCTTCATTGCAGCATTTTGTAGTGAGCCTCTCGACCCCTGACTCATGGCTTCTAGTACATTCCCACCATTGGGCACAATGAGCTGTGCATGTACACAACTGTGTGTGTAGAGTGATCTACACACCAACAGGGAACCGCGGTTCCTGATGGGCCACAATGCTGGCCCGGTGTAAGCATGATGGCAGACTTGCTAGGGCCCAAGCACCCTTGCAGGGCCACCAAGACTAATAATGCCCTGCCTGACAGTCACAGGCACACCAATACCACTTAGGCCCCCTGGCAGCAGCACTGCTCTACTTCCTCTTGTGCGCTTGTTCACTCACAAGCATATTCAGAGGTGCTAGTGCTGCAAACAGGTCAAGAGATAAACATTACAGTGCTACCACTTCTGCCCCATAAGCCTGCAAGTGAGGGGGAGGCTGGGTGGCTGCCCCTTAAACCTTTGCAAGTACAGTAGAGCATGGAGTTGGAGGAGAGCTGCTGTAGAGGACCCCAAGAAGCAACAGGCATGGGGGGAATTCCGAGTGGCAAACTGGCCAGGGCCCCCCAAATTTTGGAGTTGGGTCAGACCAAGCTTGGATGTTGCAGGGGCAACAGTCACACGGCGGTCAGTGGAAGTCCAGCCAACGCAGCCCTCCTCACCTGTGTGCATTGCTTGAATGTACGGAAGGAGTATAGGGAAAGAGCTTCTCTCTCTTGCACACACACAGTTTTTCCTCATTCTCTTATCTTTCTCAAGTAATATCTAAATGGCAGGCCTTCAAGTTTAACAGTTATGCATTCCCCCTGGGAAATGTAGCTTTAGAAAGAAAGACAACTCTAACACAGAATTTTTTTTATCACTCTCACTAAACTACAAATCTCAGGCTTTGGAGCCCAATAGTTAGCACTGATAGTTAACACTGTTGGTGGCAAGGAGATACACACAAAGGAGACTTCTTGGATGTAAAGATCCAGGTTTGGGGCAAATACTCTTTGGTGAGAGAGCCCATCTGAGATTTTGAACTCACAAAATATGCAGGAAAGTAAATATACACTGTCAGATCTTTAAAATATGCCCGTGTTGAGTTCCAAAACGAACCTCTTCCCTTAGCATAAAGAAAGGCCACACATTTGGTAAGTTTGAAATGGTTTACTTACAAATTCTCCAAAGGTCAGATTCATTTGCTTTTCCATACAGCATTCAGAAAAAGTTGCACAGGTAGTAAAACTTGGCTTAGTTACAGTGGTTCCTAAATTATTTGTATGGCTTGTGAAAGCCATGAAGCCAAGCTGGAGCAACTAGCTTAGCCTCTCCACATGCTGAGCTTCTCAGGCAGATTGGAGAGGGGGAAAAGCTTGATTACCCAGTTCCTCCCAAGGTTCACACGTGGCTTAGGCCAGGGTAAATGTGTGGTGGGGAGAGGAAATCATGGCCACTTTACTCCTCCTCTGGTCCTGCTTCTGCTGTGAACTAAGCCCTAGGTTGACTTAGCATGTTGCCGTTTATCTTGCTCTAAACACACCGTAATCTGAAACTAAGGTTTGTTTTCAAGTTTACAACTCATGGTTTGTCTGGAGTGAGACAAACCATGAGCCTGGATTCAGGTGACCTGCTTAGCCAAACCATGGCTTAGCTCACAGCAGTGCAGCAGGAGGAGGACTGGGGAGAATCACCGCAGGCACAATCTCCTGTCTGAGAGCTCACACACTCATGTGTTCTCACTAAGCCCTGGATTCTCTCAGCAATGCATATTAAACTGTTCTGATTCATTCTCTTCTCGAATCCCCACCTCAGCCACCCCAAAATCATATTTCTTTTAAAGGACACACATCTTTTGCCACCATTGGTGCAGCACATGTGGCTGCAACCCACATGTAGAACCTAACCCAGTAACTGAAAGTCCCAGCAGATTTGCTTAAAATGTTCATATGCTGATTTATTGCTATATTTAACTAGAAATACAATATCGCTCTCCCCACAGTCTGGAAGACTGCGACCAGGTGACCTTTGTTCCTGTTCAATCCACAGTCTGGGAGCTAACTGCTGATGGATGAACAACATCAAGGCCCCAGCACTGTGCCTTTTTATATTCAAATTAGCTTTGCACCAGTTTAAATGCCAGCGGAGCCCCAATGACTACAGCAGCACAGTTATCAGGGGGCCCAAGTGGTTGTGGGCACAGTGGAAGGAGACAAGACATCAACCCTGGCAGCACTGCCAGGGCGCCAAGGCTCTTGCATTCATGCCTAGGCCCTGACTATCATCCTGGGTGTTGATTCTAGGCCTGCATTGTGGAAAGATCATGTAGACACTATCATGCCGGTACAAAGGTATGTGCATAGTGCCTGTAGGAACTATCAAATACAGTGGATGCTCGGATTGTGAACGTGATCCGTGCAGGATGCACATGCACGTCTGCGCATGCGCGGGTCAGGATTCGGTGCGTCTGCGCATGCACAAAGCATGAAAAAATGCAACCTGAAGCATTTGTAACCTGAGGTATGACTGTACAAGACTCCTTCAAATGGACATCAGCTGTCTTTTGTAAAGTGGGGCACATGACCACCCTGCTGGAGAGTCAATAGCCTGAGGACTATGGCAGAGCGGCCCCGCACTACTCTAAAAATATTACCTGTACCTTTTTCTCAGTCAGAGAACACAGGAGCGTAATTCCAGCATCTCTCAGGTGGCAGCCATTGCTGACCAGTGTTCTCCCCACCTGCTTCTTGCCTTCTGAGAAGCCCCAAACGAACATTTCAAGTCAAAACAGAAGCTGGCCGGTTAAAAAAATCTATGACTCCATCTATCTGCTAACTGCTGCTAGCCACAATTGGTCAAGCTATTCGTATTTCCTTTTCTTCAATCCGTTTCCCATGTAGCGGCAGTGGGCTTTAAGTTTTCCAGTCATGCCCTTACCGTTGCACATGCGTATTTGTGCAGGGTTCCTTCCAAGCTGCCCTAGCCATCCTTCTGAATCCAAGAGAACAAGAGAGGCAGGGGTGCATTTATTAGACCTGCACCAGAAGCAGGGGCTGCCCCCCGGGTTACCCAGTGACCTACTCTAACAACTTCATTGTGAGTTCTGGCACCCATTTTTCTTGGGGGTGGGGGGAAGCACTGCCTGTACTTTTGGTTTTTGTAAACAAGAGTAAAATTACTCGAGAAAGGAGCAGGGGGGGTTTTGAATGCCTCTCTCTGCTTAAACGCAAAGAAGGTACATTCTTCTTGCAAGGGAATGTTAGAAATTGCATGAACACACACACACACACACACACACACACACACACACGGGGGGTGTAGGAAAGAAACCTTGGGATTTGATTTCTACAGACAGGCATTTTAACAGCCGTTCCATCAACGAAAAAGCCTCGAGCCCCCATGCAGCTTACTAATATATAATTTCTCGAAGTGCTCTTAGCTGTTGTCTTAGCAACACAAAACACAAATATATCAACAGAAACCCACTGAAACAGGCATCCAGCAGGGACGTTTTAGACATATTAATCTCTTTTGTTTATTTATTTTTAACCCGTTACTACTTTCTGGGGAGAACAATGATGTTCATTAGCAACAAAAGCCTCATTAGGCAGTCCAAGAAAGGCTCTTCTGGAATCAGATGCTGTTAGGTGCCCTCACCATAACCAAGTGACCCGAAAGCTGCAAGATACCAACTAGAAAATGCTTACAGCTTCTCTTTCATGTTGAGTAGTGGGGGGAGAGTTATGCAGGGGGAGATGCAATGATATAAGGGAGGAAATCTGTATTAATAAAATCAAGCACTGTGAAAAGGGCGAAGCCAACTGTTAATATTTTCTGCACCAGCACAGTGAATTCTCTTACTTCATGCCAGGGATGTTTTTAAGGGATAGTCAAAGAAGCAACAAGTCTTTGTGCTGGGTCTCAGATCTGTTGCCATACCTCCCTTTTTTAATTTTTTTAAAAAAAACAGCAGGGAGGGAAAACATTTTTCAGCCCAATGGTCACATCCCCTTCTGAGAAACCGTATAGGTAAAGGTAAAGGGACCCCTGACCATTAGGTCCAGTCGTGACCGACTCTGGGGTTGCAGCGCTCATCTCACTTTATTGGCCGAAGGAGCCGGCGTACAGCTTCCGGGTCATGTGGCCAGCATGACTAAGCCGCTTCTGGCGAACCAGAGCAGCGCACGGAAACACCGTTTACCTTCCCGCTGGAGTGGTACCTATTTATCTACTTGCACTTTGATGTGCTTTTGAACTGCTAGGTGGGCAGGAGCAGGGACCGAGCAACGGGAGCTCACCCCGTCGCAGGGATTCGAACCGCCGACCTTCTGATAGGCAAGTCCTAGGCTCTGTGGTTTAACCCACAGCTCCACTAGGAGCTGCTAAATGCCAGTGGTGGGCGGGGCCAGCAGCAAAAATGGGTGGAGGCATGGCTGGAACTTTTAGCTTTGTATAAGTGAGTGTCGTAGCTGGGAAGCTAATGTGGCCAGGAGAGAGTGCTACGGGCCATGGAGGGCTTGGAGGGCCACATTTGCCCCTGAGCCTAAGGTCTCCCACTCCAGGCTTGCAGGGCTGCTGGGCAAAATGCAAAACACAGTGTCAGTGAGACCCCAACCACACACCTTATTAAATTGCTTGGAAACCTAATTCTGCACCTGTACTGTACAACCAAATGACCATGGCTGGAGCTCAGTGGTAGAGTACCTGCTCTGCATGCAGAAGTTCCCAGGTTCAACCCCCAGGTGGGGCTGGGGGTGCCCCTGCCTGAAACCCTGGAGAGCAGCTGCCAGTCAGTGCTTCCAGTACTGAGCAAGGTGGACCAATGACCTGGCTCAGCATAAGGCAGCTTCCTATGTCCTTGTTAGTATAGGCACATCTGTGCCACAGACCTGTGTGAGTCTTTTAAGCAGTGTACCGCTGCAAATTCACAACCAGATGTATTGGGTCTGGCTCCAGGTCTGAGCAAGGCCTCAGCAAAGTGCTCACCACAGCACCCCTGCTACAATGGTCTCCTTCCAATTGTGAGGTTGCCTACAGGCAGTGCCAAGTAGCTGCAAGCCACTATTTTAAATTTTCCACAGTGCCTTGGAGCATCTGATGCAGTTGTTGCTTCAGAGCACTGTGGCTTGGAATTGCCAAGTGCCAGGGATACCTTTCGCTGAGTCAGACACTTGGTGTATCTGGCTCAGCATCTTATACCCTGACTGGCAGCAGCTCTCCAGAGCAGGGTTCTCTTTCCCACCCTACCTGGAGATGCTGGGGACCTTCTGCATGTAACGCACGTGTTCTACTTCTCAGCCACTACCACCCCCATCCCTCTTTAAAGCAAGGATGAGGAACCTTTACCTTGCAGGGCAAATCCAGCCCTTTGCCCTTCTGAACTTCAGTACCCAAAATGCCACAGAATGATGCAACTTCAAATGCCCTGGGGCAGGGGTCTCCAACACTGTGCCCATGTGTACCTTCTATGGCGCTCACAAAAGGTTGCAACAAATATCTCCTCAAAGATTAGCAATGACCAGGAGATAGTTTGCTCTTCCTGCTCTGTTTCTGTTTGCATTGGTGCATTCCCTTCTACACTGAACATGCCTCCTTAAACATGCCCACGTTTAAATGGATGCCAGAAGTCAATTACACACACTCCCATCCATTTTGAAAAGAGGAGAGGGGAGTGGTAGGTGCCTTTTCCCCATTCCGTGGGGCTTTTAAAATGTGACAGCCATTTTGTGTTAAGCCACACACCCCACAGCAGCCATTTTGTGACTGGAGCCAAAGAAATTTTCTCAAAATTCCACACGCGCTCATTGGCTCCCAAAATTTGGCAACCCATGCTCTGAGACCAGGGACGGCCCAGCCGTAAGGCAAGGTGTGGCAACTGTCTCAGATGGCAGGATCCACAGGGGCAGCAGATCCCAGTGTAGATCTTTATCCACCCCACCCCACCCCACTTGGTTCCTGATTTAGATCTTCACTCACCACTTCTTTCCTGGTGGGGAGGAGGGCCCCATTTTATAGTTTGCCTCAGATCCCTTGGGCCGGCCATGTCTGAGACATTACTGAAAAAATTATGTGGCAACTTGTGGTGGGGAGAGAGTTCTGTCTCCAGGACGGCTGTCTACCAGCTCCATCTGGTACACAGGCTGAGACTGTCTTACCAGAGTGGTGCATGCTCTAGTTATCTCCCGCTTGGACTACTGCAATGCGCTCTACGTGGGGCTACCTTTGAAGGTGACCCAGAAACTGCAATTAATCCAGAATGCGGCAGCTAGACTGGTGACTGGGAGTGGCCGCCAGGACCATATAACACCGGTCCTGAGAGATCTGCATTGGCTCCCAGTACGTTTCCGAGCACAATTCAAAGTGTTGGTGTTGACCTTTAAAGCCCTAAATGGCCTCGGTCCTGTATACCTGAAGGAGCATCTCCACCCCTATCATTCAGCCTGGACACTGAGATCCAGTGCCGAGGGCCTTCTGTCAGTTCCCTCGCTGCAAGAAGTGAGGTTACAGGGAACCAGACAGAGGGCCTTCTGGGTAGAGGCGTCCGCCCTGTGGAACGCCTTCCCATCAGATGTCAAGGAAATAAGCAGCTATCCTATTTTTAAAAGACATCTGAAGGCAGCCCTGTTTAGGGAAGTTTTTAATATTTAATGCTGTATTGTTTTTAACACTCAATTGGGAGCCACCCATGGTGGCTGGGGAAACTCAGCCAGAAGGGCGGGGTGTAAATAAATTATTATTATTATTAGCATCATCATCATCATCATTATTATTATTATTATTATAGTTAGGCCATGCATCAATGCCAGTGGCTCCAAAAAGGACACTGTAGCCCAGGCAGATACCTGTCAATGCCAGATGTTGCGGCTGGCTCTGTATATTTTCTACACATTGCACATTTTCTTCAAGAAACCACAGTGTACATGCAGTGTTCACATTTGCTGTGTAACACGCTGAGCTGCCCTTCTATATAAAGTTGTAAAAAACCAGACTGCATAAAAATTAGATATATTGCATTACCCTCCCTCCCCAATACCTTTTGTCTGCATGCTTGACAAATAAAGCCTGCATGTCGCTCTTTATTACCAAACAACAGAGACCTTTACCTGGCGCCAAATCCCAGATCCATCTTGTACATATTAGTGCAAATCCTACAGAATACCAAGCAACAGGCCACTGTTTTCATCTTGGCATTCCCTGTATCGAGTTGCATGTATTCATCATGAGAACAGGTGTTCTGAGCTTACGTCAGGCCTGCGGACATACTCGGAGACTGCAATGGGAGGGAGGGGATTGTCAAATCGTTCAGTGAAAGCACACACAAGCCTTCCCAGTGGGGAAAAGCCAAGCTTGTAACATCACTTCAGCCCTTTTCTCCCTTTCTCTCCTTCTGTCTCTATCTTTCCTTGGTCCATCCGCCGAATTCTCTGAGGGACAATCATTCATGAAACTGCAAAGCCTCACAGACATTTGCTCCAAACTATTGGGATAATCATGCCAACACTTAATTGCTATGATTACATGTAATGCAGAGTACATGCATTAAATCAAAACAGCTGGCCTTATTTGGAAAACATGGTAATTTCTGAATGCAGTTCAGGCCAGCTGTGGTCCTACTCCCTGACTGTCAATGGTCTTCATGTAAGCTAGAACTGGCAAATGGACCTGCCATTAGAGGACAGGGCTACAAGCTAAACTTCCAACATTGTGTCTTCAAAGCCTTGCTCAGAAACATAAGATGTCGGAAATGGTCCAGGGAGTCCAACTTCCTGTCACCAGGAGTGTCCAGTCCCTTTCGGAAGACCTCCTTTGCTGTTTGACACATTCACACACACCAATAACAACAAGGTGAGCCTGGAGTATAATTTAAAGCAGTACCATACCACTTTAAACAGTCACAAAGGATCCAGGGGACTGTATTTTGCTGAGAGCTCTTAAGAACGCCCCATTCCCCTCACACAGCTACAGTTCCCAGAGCTCCGTGGAAAGAAGGATTGCTCGCGAAACCACTCTGAGAATTGCAGATCAGCTGCGATGTTCAGTCTAGTTGTTTTGGAAATAATGAGTAAGCCAATGAAAAGTATCAAGAGGCCCAAAGGAAACGGCACAAAAGCCAAATATCTGTACAATCGGGCAGGAGCCAGCACAAATTCATTGATTTAAAGGCGTTCCTTGTTTTAATCCTTGGGAGAATAAAAAGGCTGGACTGCAAATTCTTATCACAAGACACACCCACTGGTTCATTCTCTCCAGAATGACTCATCATTTACCAGTGCAAAGAGAAATAGGGCACCTCGTACTAGTGGAAATATGTATGTATATATATGTCTTGTGTTATTTGTTACATTTTTATCCCACTCTTCCTCCAAGGAGGAGTTTTAGATTCACAGCAAGTTAGGCTGAGTGACTTGCCCTGAGGCTACCTGGGGAGCTTGTAAGCCAACTGGGAACCTGAACCCAGGTTTCCTTGTATCCAAAACCAACTTCCTTATCTCTCCATTACAATGGGTTTTACACTCCTCAAGTCACCTGATGGAGAAAACTATTCCATGACCGCATGTTTTACATCTTTAAAATGAGCCTTTGTCAACCTTGGGTCCCCCAGATGTTGTTGGACTACAACTCCCATCATCCTTAGCTAGCAGGACCAGTGGTCAGGGATGATGGGACTTGTAGTCCAGCAACATCTGGGGACCCAAGGTGGACAAAGGCAGTTTCAGGCCAAGCTGAATTTTGGTAGGCTTCGGTTTTTGCAGTGAAACTAACTTTTCGGGGAGCGTAACATTCCCTCCCCGCCCCCCCCCCCCGCAAAGCACCAATAGCATGCCACCATCCTCCTCCTTTAAAGTGGTTGCTGCATCCATTTCAAAATAGATGGTCTGCAGTAGGGGTGGGAGAGAAAACTGGCTTGCATTTAAAGCCAGGTCTATCAAATTCACGCTTTCTGAAACAATATGAAAACTGAAGCACAGCTAGCCTTCAAAATTCACACATCTCCAAATTTTGCAATGTAATTTTCAATGTCAACAAAAACGTATACAATACCTCGGGCTACATACGCTTCAGGTTACAGACTCCGCTAACCCAGAAATAGTACCTCGGGTTAAGAACTTTGCTTCAGGATGAGAACAGAAATCATGCCCCAGTGGCGCGGCAGCAGCGGAAGGCCCCATTAGCTAAAGTGGTGCTTCAGGTTAAGAACAGTTTCAGGTTAAGAACGGACCTCCGGAACGAATTAAGTACGTAACCAGAGGTACCACTGTATATCGTATTAGGGAAAAGTGTGCATAAAATGAATATATTAGTAAAAATATATTAGTAAAAATAACGTATAGATCTACATTACAGGAAGGGAAATTGTATGAGAAAATGTGTCTATTAGGAGAAATTCACCTTAAGAGGCTGAGGATTGTGGAGATTGCTGTGGAAATGTGGATAACCCATTTTAAGACTGGAAAAAATAGAAACTGCGAGAACAAGATCCATACATCCCTAGTCTGCACAGCGACCTGCACGTTCTGATCTTCTGCTGCTCACTTGCCAAGAGAAGAGGAGGATACCACTGGAGGTTTTTCAATCATGGGTGAGGGTGTCTTTTAAATCAGTAGAAGCTGGCACTTTCAAAGGATGTAAAGATGTTCAGTTCACATTCAGCTTCTTCAAAGGGACACCAAAATGTGAAGTTCCACCATTTTAGCTGCCCTATACTTTCGTGAGCTGCTGAGGGATCACATACACAAAAAGCCATTGTCA